GAAACAGTCTTGTAATTTCGGCAACTTTCTTCAAGTTTCCAAGTCCCATATATATAGTGTGAAAAAGGAACCATTGGATGGAAAATCAAGGATACGAAAATGTAGCTGTCCACTAACGGAATAGTGACAGGTGTGAAAATTAGTACAATCCTTTCGCGCACAAAATCAGGTAGTGGAGGCACAATTTTGTTTTGTACTGTGTATTATTTTGATCATGTATCCTTTATCCTTATCTTCAAATTCACTGGCTTCTGATGAAAATTTTATGAAGCATGAACAGAAGAACCACATATCTTGAAATCAGAATCTTCAGAATCATCAACTAGAACCCTGAAAACATCAGCGTCTGACTTGAGATCTTCCAAATCTTCAGCTAGAAACTTCAGAAGCTTGCCTTTCTTCAGAAGTTTGATGATCAGAGTCATATCCAGAAGCAGAAACTAAGAGAACATTGCATTAGCAACATGGAATCTTCTCATAAGCTTCTTATAAGTGAATCAGCGCAGAAGCGCATTTCGAAACACAGTTCAGAAACTGATTGTTAAAGCTACATAATAACAAACAGTTATGGTACCAAAATTGTTCTCACACAAATACTACCTTGTTATCATCAAAACTCAAAGGTATAGATGTAGAACCAAATATTGTTCTATTAGGACCGAGCTGCTCTGATACCATTAATGTAACACTCTACTTTCCGACTTGACAAATAATTAAATATAACATGTATAACACATAAATCCTTCAAGTAGGATGTTACTCATACAACAAAAAAAATATACATGAACCATATAATTTGGAATTTAAATCACTTGATAAGCAGCATAAATTATAAAATAGTTAACGTTAAAGCCTTAACAACAATAAGTTCGAAAAGTGGTTCAACAATAAAATCCAAGGAAAAATATGCAACATAAAACAAATAAAAGAACAATTTGTTTCCCTCGTGTTACATATCATAGCGACTCCAACTATAGACTCAAACGACAATCAACTAAAAAGGCACATCGCCATACTCTACTTCAAGCTCCTTATGAGGTACTTAATTGTCTATACTCTAGAGGAGCACATACGCAGCAACACAAAAAAGGGGTGAGAATACATTCAAATAATAATCGGTGTACAAAACAATCAAGGTATATTCACACATTACAAATCGTACACATATCAAACATGCACCACAATATCACGTATTCATATTTCACCCATATCACATTCAATCACCAATCACAATCTTATTCGTCACAATCAAAGTCACACAAATCCATACAAGAGTAGTCAACAACACTCAATCACCTAATATGCACAAATGTTATATAATACAATGCAACATTGACTCAACTCAAGCATACGGTACAAACTCAACAAATGATTCTTCATACGAATCGGGTCCCCTCTCTGAATCATGAGCCCCAAGTTTAAGCTCCAATCCCCCACTCTAAGTTTGGGATAAGTCACTAGTCCTCTCTCTGAACTCGTGACCCGCCTCTTTCACAACACGACAACATATGATGCATGGCATGTAATAATGCAATGACAATAACACAACAAATGAATACAACCCCGCATATGAATATAAACAATTATGCATTCAATGCATCATTAGTAGTTCTCATCCCGAACTACTTATCTCATCAAATCAATCAGCAAGCATGTATTTCACAACATATATCACACATTGGACATGCATCCATATATCACTCAAATATATCAATTTATCTCACAAGGCACTACCATGAGGTAGCTCTGCCTGTTAGCTTTCCAACATTTCAAACCGCACCTCATTTGAACTTACGGAACTAAAGTTATGGCAACACTAATCGAGTAAAATATGTGATTTAATTCAACAATTTATCAAAAATCAACTAGCATCAATCGATTGCCATATGGGTGCAATGGTTGATGTCAATCCCTATTACATTTTGTCTTTCTAATTTTTCACCTTTTGGATGAAAACAATCGATTGATTCACATAATCAATCGATTGACGTAGTTCAATTTTTTAGATTTTTCTAGTTTTACACGCATGCAATCGATTGACACATGATGTTAATTGATTGACATTATCCCAAATTCAAAAAATTCCCAATTTTCACACGTTATTTTCATCTTCCTCGTCCCTTATCCATCATACATCTTCCCAACTCTCATTATTACATCCAAACACATCATATAACATCACTAAACAACAACACCACATCAAATACAGATCCTATTATGCTTAATACATTAATTATCTCTGATTAAACCCTTGATCCATCACTTTATCATGAATTAACTCAATTATGTTCATACCATAAAACATCCAATTTTAACACAAATTTATCATTAAATCAATTAACTCACGAACATAAAGCACCATAACCTCAAACACGAATTTCCCATCAATTCTGGCATAAAAATAGAATCATAATCATCATTTATCACATTAACATCAAATAATAGAGAAAATAGAACTCTATTGAAGGTTAAGGTAAACCTCTCTAGCATTTCATGATTAAGACACCCTTAGATGGATAATCCTCCTCCGCCATTTACCTTGTAAATTTAACAAAAACACAAGCAAGCAAGCTTTTATGGTCTTCTCTCCTAAAGCCCTAACTCTCTCTCCAAAAGCTCTTGCTCTCCTCTTTTCTTTTCACGTAGTGGCAAATGCTCTAAAAACCTATTTTCTCTTCTATTTATCTTAATATATATTATAACCTAATTACATTTCTCTCTAATTTAAATATGGCTCAACTAAAACATAATCTCTCTCCACTAACTCACTATTTTCTTATAATTGCACTTTTTTAACCCATCTTTTACTAACCTTTCAATTTTCAATTAATTAATTAATTAAATTCCATTAAAATCTAATTAATTAACACAGTTTCCCAAAATCCCCACTAACTAGCCAAACCGCCCAAAACCACACAAAATAGTATTTAAATTATTTAATTAAACAAGTTAAGGAATAAATAAATACTAATTAAATCAGAGTGTTACAACGCAAATAAATACTAATTAAATCAGAGTGTTACAACGCTCGTCACCCAGGTGACGAGCTAGTCGTCATGACCACCAAGGACCAGTTTTGAGTAATAGGTTCGAATTTCAATGATGTTTTCTCATGTGGTCAATGGTTGTCTGTTGTTTTGGTATATTTGATCAATTTAATTAATTAAGGTGAATTATTATGATGGTGAAATAATAATTGAATTAAATTGCATGATTATAAGTGGTGAATTATGATTATGTTTATGAGTTTAAGATATTGCGAATATAATTATGTGTTGTGAATGTAATTATAATTGTTTATGTTAAGGTGAGTAGTTCAAAAGTGGGGACTACTGTGAATGTTGTATTGCATGTTTCTTATGGTTACAAGTGGAACCATAAGTGTTGTTGTTATTGCATTACTTGTATGCCTTGCATCATTTTGCGTGTGTTGAAAGAGACGAATCACAGGTTCAGATGTGGGGACCACTGGAGTTCACAAGTGTCGACCTGGGGTTCAAAAGTGGGGATCCGGTTCAAATGAGGAACCATTGTTGAGTGGACGAGATCAGTAACAAACCTATGATGTCCAAATTGGTACTACATGCATAGAGTTGAGTAGTGAGTCATATTGCATACATAAAGGCTATGTGAATTGAATTGTTGGATTATTGTGTAAATTGAATGTGTATTGTTGATTATGTGATTTAAGCTACCCTTGTATTATTTTATCCCGTTAATATATTTGAGTGTATTCTCACGCGTTTGTTGTTTGTTTTGTGTTGCTCTGTATAATGTTGTACATATACTCAGAAGGAGTAAGTGTTGCTATGAGTTGGAAGAGGACTATGAAGCTCTCTTAGTTTTCTTTATCATTTTATCATCGTTCAGTTGGAACTATTGCTCTGATCTACAATATCGGGGGAACGAGTCGTTTAAATTGTTTTGAGTTAATGTGTGAATTGTTAAATACTTCATTTGAAGAGATCATTGAAATTTATGTTAATTATTTTGAATTCTACTGCACGTTTTGATATTAATTGAAAAGTTTGAGGGTCGTGTTTGAGTAGCATCCTAAAATGTTAATTTTATTCTTTATTTATGACTCAGATTTTTAGGGTGTTACAACACACATGTTAGCAGTGTATATATACTTTAAGTGAGTAAAATGGATTGAGCCTCAATGGGTACCCAATTTTGTGGTTGGATGAGAACATACTACCATGAAATATAACACACGCACGCTAGCCGCCCCCATTCCTTCGGTCGCCTCGGTTTGACATAGTTCAGTCTGGCCCGGTCTTGAGCTTTGATCCAATATCTTTTTTTATATCCGAAATGATGAAAAACCATTTAATATTAATTAATTTATTAATCGTGTGTAATATAAATTAATTAATTATTATTAATTAATAACGGTATGTTGTAATTCAATTACGGATTAATTAAATATAAAATTATTAACAATAACCCTAATTGTTGACCAAAACCTTCATGTTTTGTCTTGTTGATTAAGTCTCCTCGCTTCCTTATTGACCAAGCATCATAACGACTACTTTTGGGCCAACCCGTTCTGCTCTCCCACGACTTTTTCTCCATTTGGGTCAGATCTTCAGTTATAAATAGTAATTTTTCCATCACTTGCAATTCACTCCAAAATTCTGTATTTTGAATTCTCTCTTCTCTCTCTACTCAACTTTTAAAAAATTTCTTTTCTATTTTCGAGTGGCTTGTTTGTGCCATCGAAGACTGCTTTTTATCAAAAACTGTGAGTGGTTTTAACGCCATCAAAAAGTGTATTTCTAAACCGCTTTGCATATTTTAAGCCAATATTACAAATGTTTTAAAGAGAGTGAACCATTCTTCGAATCGACTCAGTAATTTCTTCCGTTGCAATATTTTTCAAAATCCAAACTCATCAATAACGATTATTACATAATAGTTTTTATGATAACATAATCATAATTACTACCACACTTGCAATTTAAAATCTTATTCAGAAGAAATTAACACCTTTGCTTCTAATCTCCACGATTTAAGAGACTTCTCTCTTCTAAAAACTGTTTCATCTTACTCTCTTGAGGAATTGACTTAGATACACTCTCTTTTTTAGCACACCTTTTGGCCCAAGAAGTCAAATTGGGGAATCTTTCATCATCAATGAATTTGCCAGCAAAAGTGTAAGTATATAACATGCAAAAGAATGGAACAAGTGCCACATCCACAAAACCAAACTTGTCTCCACCAAAATAAGGTTTGTCTCCCAGCTGTTCTTCCAACACTTCAAAACTCTCAAGCAACTCTTTCTTTGCAGCTTCTTTCTCTTCTCCTACACTTTTTGCATACCTAGATCCAATCTCATATACCTGTTCCATTCACATAGTTGTAAGTTACTAAGAAATTCACCTTTTTTTCAACATTGGTTATATAAAAATCATGGTTTTAAAAAAATGTCTTATATAACAGTCTGCCACGGCAAAAACGACCGCGACAAAACGTATTGGCAGATGTCAATACTAATACTGTTATCACCGTTTTTATGATAAAGAATAAATTATGGTTAATTTACACCGCGACTACCGCAATCAGTATCGTGACACCTGTATTATACCGACCGAAATCACAAAAGCCTTAACGCGCTCACATTTGTTTTTTAAAACCCTGATAAAAATAAGAACTTAATGTGAATTACCTTAGTGTCAACGTAGTTAGCCCAAAATTTAGCTTGACTTCTTTGGTAAGGATCAGAAGGAAACAAAGGAGAATGATCATTCCAAACCTCATCAATATATTCAACTATATTTAGTGATTCACAAATGGATTTTTCATTATGAACTAGAACTGGTATTTTCTTGTGAATTGGGTTCATTTGCAAAAGTAAAAGACTCTTGTTGCTAAAATCCTCTTCTTTGTTCTCATACTTGATACCCTTTTCCTCAAGTGCAATTAGGACCCTCATGCCATAATGACTTGGCCAGAAATTTAACAGGATCACCTCATTTGCCATTGCTGAGATAGAAGACTTGAACAAAATAAAATTGAAGTTGGATGGCTAAGGTGTATGGTTGGTGTTGTCAATATATAGAAAAGGTTGAGAACCATGAAACAACTGAAGTAAAACAAAGAGATGGGTCTTAGACGGATATTACTATGCATAGTGTTTCCTTTGTTATAAAACACTTTGCATGAAGACTTTGTATAAGTGAGCTGTGATATCAAACAAAATATAGAACAGCATCTTGAAATGTGGATTGAGGCAGCTTGTTGGCCTGCAGGTATCATATGACCAAATTGGCGTCCAATTATTTGTCTGTACTCGTTAATTTGAAGCTGAGTATTGCAAGTTCATACTTACTAAACGATAAATAGTTTCACTAACCATGTATAATAATGCATATACACTCGACTCAAAGAACAAACAGATCAATATGGCAGAATTATAATTCATATTCAAAGGATCCGAAACTATCCTATATATGACTTACATGTTAACCTAACATAGCAATTAGGATTTGCAATTTGACCTATTCTAAGTTGGTACCAATAAAAATGACCCACATCAGAGATGATAAAAGTTCATAAAACTGATACGGATATAAACACAAATAATTATCTACAAAAATAAACCTGTATAAACGCAAGTACTTGTATCTTATATGTCTCACATCTCATACTCACACGATATATATATATATATATATATATATATATATATATATATATATATATATATATATATATATATATATATATATATATATATATATATATATATATATATATATATATATATATATATATATATATATATATATATATATATATATATATATATATATATATATATATATATATATATATATATATATATATATATATATATATATATATATATATATATATAGGCCAATCGTCACTCGACAGCAGCTCCGTCCTAGCGTAGGCTGAAGAAGTAAAACCTCTTCCTCTATCGCTTGATTGAAAGGATCAGACACTTTCCCCTACTTTTGACAACAGAACGAATTATATTATTAATATAAGTAAGGTAAACTTGCTTTTGCCGATTGCACTCGGACAGCGGCCTGGGCCGTCCTGGAATGGAAAAAAAATAAATTAGATGGATTGGACTTGGACTTTGTTTGAAAAGATTAATTCTATTAATTACATCACTATTATACTTATACTTATTCGTGTTTTAATATATATTAGTTTATTTCTTAATTTAAAAATATTATTTTTGAATTTTTTTAATATAATAAAAAACTTAAAATCACATAATAAATTATAATTAATATATTATTTTTTATTTAAAATGCAAATAAACAGATATAAATATAAATATTTATAAAGTACAAAATATAGATATAAATATAGATTTGAATTCGAATATAATGATTTTTTATCAAATGACAAGTATGAAAACGGTTACTAGCTCAAACTCTAATAATCATTAGGTGAGGATGGTAATGGTTACCACTTGCCACACTCCATCGCTATTGAATCCCTCCACACTACATAGCTTATTTCCTTTAAATTTTATTTTTCATTTAAATTAAATGGTAATAAATATTCTAAAGGTGCTCAATTTAGTCAATATATTTTACTTATTCAAATTAATTTTTTATAATAAATATGATATATTAAAATATTGAATTTAATTGATATGAACAGATCATATAACACTACAAGAAATATTATAATTTTGTACATGGTATTCACGTTACTAACCAAGATTTGCGACGTAGGTAGAGCACGTCGAAAAAGCAACTGTGAAAATTTTTTCCCATGTAAAATTCACGTTACTAATTAGTGACAGGTAAATCACGTCACAAACAACCCAAACTCAATTAATTGAAAAAGTACCCACGTGAAATTCACACCACTAATTAGTGATAGAGAATTCACGCCACAAACAACCAAATTAATTGAAAAAGTGCCCACGTGAAATTCACGTCATTAGTTAGTGACGTGAATCACACATGTCAATATAAAAAAGTTTGCACGTGATTCGCACGTCACTAATTAGTGACATGATTTTCACGCCACAAATTCAAACATGTTTTAAATTTAGTGATCTGATTTTCACTTCACTAATTAATTTAATAATAAAAAATGTATAAATATTAATGAATACAACAAATTAATAAATACTAAAACGTAAAAATTTAAAGTATTTTTAATTAAAATTTTTAATTTTTTTAATAAATATAATTATTAAAAAATATAAAATATTTAGCCACATTATACCCACGTCACAAACAAAAAAAATAATTTAAGAAGTGTCACGTAATATTCACATCACAAACATAAATAATAATAAATAAAAAGTTATTCATCGTCACTACTAAATATAGCATCTTCATCTTCTTCATCATCTTGGACAGAATAATTCGATTTTGAGGCAAAAAATTATCGCGTTTGTGCCTCTATGTCGGATTGTCGTTCCTCATTTCCTCTATTTTAACATTTTGCTTATTTCTCATTTCCTCCATTTTGGTATTTAGCGTCGCCTCACATGCCTACGCGTTTTATCTCGCTTCAGATAGAGCTAACTCTCTCACTATTGCTAATATTTCGAGTGTCAATTATGCTGGACGAAATCCTTCTTCCCCATCTTTGAGAAATAATCAATAAAAATTTATCAATCTGTTATATAATACAATTAATTTAAAATTTATAGTCTAATATAACGGAATACATGTAACAGGATACATATTGATGATTGAATGACAGTCTAAAATTGTTGGTATATACCAATTAAATTGTAAAATATTTAGTTTCCATCTTCTTGATAGGTATTTTAAAATTGTTTTTACAATAATTTTTATTTTCACATTAAAACCACTTTTTTCTTTAAAATATTCATATATGGAATCTGTGTTTGGAATAAGGCCAGCCGTGCAAGTGTGATGCAATCAAATACAGTAAGTTTTACCCCATACCCCTACACTTATACCTATACCCCGACATTAAAAAATTTTGGACCAAAATATCCTCGTATAAAAATTTATTATTTTTTAATTTTTTTTATATTTTTTTATTTGTTTACCGAAAGACTTTTTGAAAGTCTTCCGGTTCACATTTTTTTAGTATGTTTACCGGAAGACTTTTTGGAAGTCTTCCGGTACATATTTTTTTCGTTTGTTTACCGGAAGACTTTTTAGAAGTCTTCCGGTTCATGTTTTTTTTTTAATTTGTAATTAATATTTAAGATTTATTAATTTGATATAAAGACCAATTTAGTAAATTTTTGAATATTATACTTAAAATATAAAAATTCTATAAATAGAGAATCATTTTCAGAATATTTTCTATTTACTATAATTATTAGAATACTAGGATTAAAATCATTTATTTTAAATGATCATGATAATAGAATTTTCTCAAATATTTTATTAATCTTAAACATTAATAAATAAAATAAATTTAAATATAAGATATAAGTTTACATTATTCAATATATTTAATCAAATGAAAACATTGTGATAAATAAATAATGTATTTTAACTTAAAATGATCACAATAAGTTAACTTGCAAAATAATATAAGTAATAAATTAATAATGTATTTTATTTAAAATAATCACAATAATAAAATACGCAAATAATGTGTTTTATTTATAGGACTGATATAGTTTTATTGATTATTTAATTTTGAATACTACTATAAATATAGTATTTAATCTATACTTTAGAACTCACATAATTATAAATATAAAAAATATTGTTTTATTACCCATATTTTTATTTAATTAAAAAAAATAAGAATATAAATTTATTATTTGTTTTTCATTTTTGTTTGATCTTTTTAATTATTTCACTTTATTTAATATTTTTAATAAAATAAATAATATATTTTATTTAAAGTAAGCACAGTATAGAATATGCAAAAAATTTATAAATAAAAAAAAGATCAAACGAAAATATAGTAAATAGAAAATATTCTATTTATAGTAAATTGGTCCTAGTATTCTAATAATTATAGTAAATAGTAATTTGATCTTTTTTTTATTTATAAATTTTTTGCATATTCTATACTGTGCTTACTTTAAATAAAATATATTATTTATTTTATTAAAAATATTAAATAAAGTGAAATAATTAAAAAGATCAAACAAAAATGAAAAACAAATAATAAATTTATATTCTTATTTTTTTAATTAAATAAAAATATGGGTAATAAAACAATATTTTTTATATTTATAATTATGTGAGTTCTAAAGTATAGATTAAATACTATATTCATAGTAGTATTTAAAATTAAATAATCAATAAAACTATATCAGTCCTATAAATAAAACGAAAATTACTATAATTGCTATAATTATTAGAATACTAGGACCAATTTACTATAAATAGAATATTTTCTATTTACTATATTTTCGTTTGATCTTTTTTTTATTTATAAATTTTTTGCATATTCTATACTGTGCTTACTTTAAATAAAATATATTATTTATTTTATTAAAAATATTAAATAAAGTGAAATAATTAAAAAGATCAAACAAAAATGAAAAACAAATAATAAATTTATATTCTTATTTTTTTAATTAAATAAAAATATGTGTAATAAAACAATATTTTTTATATTTATAATTATGTGAGTTCTAAAGTATAGATTAAATACTATATTCATAATAGTATTCAAAATTAAATAATCAATAAAACTATATCAGTCCTATAAATAAAACACATTATTTGCGTATTTTATTATTGTGATTATTTTAAATAAAATACATTATTAATTTATTACTTATATTATTTTGCAAGTTAACTTATTGTGATCATTTTAAGTTAAAATACATTATTTATTTATCACATATGTTTTCATTTGATTAAATATATTGAATAATGTAAACTTATATCTTATATTTAAATTTATTTTATTTATTAATGTTTAAGATTAATAAGATATTTGAGAAAATTCTACTATTATGATCATTTAAAATAAATGATTTTAATCATAGTATTCTAATAATTATAGTAAATAGAAAATATTCTGAAAATG